CTAGATCTCCCAGGGCCAACCATCTCTCTCGCTACTTGCTTGCGCGTGACATCCTCAACCAATGGGCTTTCCTTCACGAGAAGCATCATTCTCCTGGGATACCTCTGGCATGGCTCGTATACTCGACAATAGAAGTCTGCCCACATCTCTAAGACGCAGCAGGCAGCTAGTTCCACGAACGTCTCGAACGGCTCACCAGGCTCAAGAGAAACCATCACCCCACCATTCATCAAATCATCCCAGGGATCACGGACTAGAAGATAATGGAATTCGTCATAAAAGAGTTGTGCTTTATGCGATACAAGCTCTAACATTGGCATGGGGTCATCATCCTTCCAAACGCCGTGCCGATGCTGCTGTGCGCGGCTGCTGCCTGGGATAGGGATAGGGAATGGACGGAGCGCGCGCCAGGCACAGCCGTCGCGTCGGCGAAGAAGCTGGCGACGAACAAGCTCCATTGAGCCGTATGGAGCGCTGTTGCGCATTCCGCCGCCAGGGGGGGCAGGGAACGAGTTTCGGTGATCCTCTCCGAACAAATCCCCCTCCTCGCTCCTTCTCCCTCCTCCTGCGCCCAACTCCACCCCCTCCTCCTCAGCAGCCTTCCACCTGCAAGTCCAACCACTCCCCCTCTCGGTGGAGTCAGGGATTCAAAACCCACTCAGTTCTTCGCCGACCCGAAGCTTTGGCAAGGCGCCCGACCCCTCCAGGCGCCTTCGAGAAAACGCTCCAAATGCACCAGCGGCCCAGAACATTTATTTGCGATATACAAGCAAGCCCAAAAATCATTCGTGTGCAAGCCCTGGTCGACTTCCTTAACCCATCTGGAAATTTTTTCCGAATAAGCGAACTCGTCATTGTCTTCGTCATCGACCAGGTTGCGTTTGCGGCCCCTGGCAACACGTTTAGCTTTGGGAACCAGGGCGTGACGAATCACGGCAGGGAGCTCGTCTCGGCCGCACTTGAGTATTTTCTCTTCAAGTTTCGCGATTGATCCCCATCTGTTCCGCAGAGCCCGCTGGGGAAGGACTTTCGCCACCTCATCCGCCCGAGCCTTGCTGGTAATATCTTTATATGCGTTATATATCTTGGCGGGATGTCCAGAAGATCTCCAGAGGTTTGCGATTTTTGCACAAGTCCCGAAATATTTGTATCTGTCCAGTCTCGTCAGCTGTGTTTTTCTAATCAGATTCGCAATGTGCCGCAAACACCAACTTCTGAGTTTCACTGTGCACAGCATGTCGCTGACATCTCCCGACGCTAATTTGTCGCAACCCAACTGGTCCGGGCCCTGGTCTGCACACATAATGAACCACCGCACGTGCATGTAGGGAGGCAGCTTGTCGCTCGTGGTCTCCATGTTTGGCTGATCGAAATACACAGCTTCCGATGTCCAAGGGAAAATGCCAAGGCCCAATAGTTGCTTGATATATGTAGCCCTCGCCTCCTCACCCCCGTAACTCTCGTGGATTTTTGCCAAATCCGCATGACACACGCGCAGGCGGCTGGGCGGCGCAGGAAGATAATCAGGGCGCCCATCATCTGTAATGGAAGCGTGGCGGAACCAGCTCCGTACCTCACACGTATGGGCCTGAGGGCAATAGGTAAAATTGAAACGACTAGCAATTGTCAGCGAAGTACACCATCGGATAAGGAACCCAAAGTCCCGCGGCAATCCAAAACACTCTGGGTGGGGCATAAATCGAGGGGGCGATTGACCGTCCGACTGAATTTTTCCAGCCCCCCCCCCTCTCTCCCTCCACCACCACCTCCTCCTCCTCCTCCTCTTCCTCCTCCCCCCCTCCCTTCCCTCCCTCCCATCCTTCCCTCCACCCCAACAAATAAGGGATCCAGGATCGCGCGAACGCTGGGCGGGATCCCACTTCACCCCAGGGGGGGTCGGTGGGATGATAAGGTTTGTTGGAGGATGGCAGAGAGGCGCCTTGTTCCCAGCCACGGTGGTGTTGGTCCCGTCGCCGCGGATGCAATGTATTTCGTAAGACATGCCAGAAGAGGGTATCTGACGATGGGCTAAGTTCATGATGTATTCGTAATTCTCAAAGTAGTAATCTCTAGACTGCAGAACGATATTGGCTGACATCAGTCGTTCCCACCGCGATGCATTCTGTCGGCTCCCCTTTTTTTCTTGTTGAAGCAAAATGGCATCGCACCCAGTGTGAGACTGATTACGCCGCATTGCTAAAGTGTACCCGCCAGAAACACTTAATGAAGGCACTCGCCCGTCTCGCCGCATTTTCTTTGGATGCATCGGCGGCGCCCAGAAGGGGCCCCGGGGTCCTGAAAGCCAGGGTGAATACTTGTAATCCCGCGGGCGTTGCGTTAAAACTATCGGGGGCTTCTTGGAAGCCCTGGTTTCTGAAAGTCCCCCCCCCCCCCATTCTCCGACCCCCGACCCCCGTCGGACCGCCGCCGAGATGACACTCCAAGGAAGTCCTGTCTCGGTATGAATTGTGGTCATCCTTGGCATCCTGAAGCTTATCAGACAAACCCTCGGCCTTCAGCCGCCAATATCTGACATCCATTTGCAAGCGATGAACCTTAAGTTTCAACTGCCGAATGATCTCCCAGGGGTCAGCACCATCCTCGTCAGGTTCGTCGCCGCCGTCGGATCCTCCGTCGCCGCCGTGAGCTCGACGGCCTCTCCCTCGCGCGCCAGCGCGCCCTCGGCCCCTGGCCCCTCTGCCAGATGGGGCGGCGGGTCTCAGTCGGGCACCGAAGGGGGGCGGAGGTTTAAGGATGAGGGGGAGGGGCGAATAATGGAGCAAACGAGAAGGATAAGGACGATGAGAAGGAGGAGGAGGAGTAGAAGGAGGACGTGCGCCTGCGGCGGCAGCCACAGGAGCAGCAGCCGCCGCCGCCCGACGAGACACGGCGACGTCGAGTGCCCGACACGATGCCTTTGGAGAAAGTAAGCGGGGTCGGTGATGATTACCCAGGGACTTCTGGAATCCACTGGACCCCTGGGACCCGAAGGACCCCCCTGGCCCGGGATCCGAAGGAACCTCGTGGCCCCACTCGCTTTGGAAAGCCGACCGTGCCTCGGGAATGTCACAACTCCCCATATTCGCCAAAACATCGCGCACGTCCAAGATTGTGTGAGGAACAGCTTTGTGACGAAGTGCCTGCCCAGGGCCCGCTCTGTGGCGGAGGAGGAAGAGACGTCTTCCTCCTCCTCTTCCTCCTCCTCCCCCTTTTCCTCCTCCTCTTCCTCCTCCCCCTCGTCCTCCTCCCTCCTTCCCCCTTTCCCCCCCAACTCCCTTCCCTCTCCCTCCTGCTTTTCCTCCTCCTCCCTTCCCCTCCTTTTCCTCCTTCCCCTCCTCCTCCCCGCCTCCCCTCAACCCTCTCCCCCTCCCACCTCGTGGACGTGGTTGTGACAGTCCCTTCTTATGTCGTGAAGTAGGGCGTCATCCACCGCATCCCCGCTCAAACCGATCACGGTTTCCGCTACGATTCTGTTGCAATCAGCCGTCGTGAGGGACACCCTGAAGCCGCCGAGCCCATTGCCATCCCCATCGGCGACGGCGGGGTTGCACGCCCACACAGCGCGGGTTAAGCAAGCAAGAGCATGTGCAGCCATTGGGCCAAAATGCTATGACTGCGCGTTCGTTTGACACATCCTCGCAATGATCTTGGTTTACGCACTATTCACTCACGAGCCTAATCCTTTAGTTCCCCTACTCCCCCTCGTCCTCCTCCTCCTCCTGCTCCTCTTCCTCCTCGTCGTCCTCCTTTTCAACTCTGTGCCGCCTGTGTAACGCGAGTGTATTGATCACAAAGGGCAATTCAGCGGGCACGACCTTGTTTCCAGATTCCCCCGGAGAATCTGGAAACAGGTTTCCCTCCCTTTAAGAGATCTGAATCTCGATACCAAAACTGTGGGAAATCAAAGTTCAGCATTTCTTCTGGGGGCAGCCCAAAGCAAATCATAAGGACGTTCTGGGAAAACCGCGAATGGGTTGTGCACAACTTGCCATCCTGCGGTCAGGACCTTGTGACAAACTCTTGTAGGCTGTGTCACGGTAGGGCGCGCCAGAGTACGATCTATTAATGATATTATGATATGGTGGGTTGTCCCTTCTCCCCTACCCCCCCGCTCTCCGTGACTCTCCAGGCCGCTCCGGGCACCTCAGGGTAGGGCCGTTTTGGGCCCAGCTTTTCGGGCCATCTGCTTCGCACTCCCAGGAGAATGTGTATACGTGCACAAATTTATTTTGATTTCGTAGGCAAGGCAAGTCAATGCAAGCGTCTTCGCCGTGGAGCGACATACCTGAATGGAATATGAGGGCGGAGAATCCAAAATCGCAAGTGGCAAACCGTGCGATCAATACGAAAACGCAGGGTTTGTTCCAACGCGATGTGTCGTTTTTTTTTTTTTTCACAAAGAACAGATGTGCAAGATATTGTCGTTCTACAAAATAAATTCGAGCGTCGCACATTTTGCATGTGGAATTTGTGTGTTCGCTGTCTTTTTTTCCAAACGAAATGACACGTTGCGTTGAAAAAAAACAACGGTTTCGTATTGATCGCATGATTTTCCCCAGACGAAATACAACATAACGTTCAAAAAAAACCTTGTTTTCTTATGTTATGTCATGTTTTTAAGCAGAAGGACGCTCAACGCCATAAGAAAAAAACATACCATGTCGATGTCGCTCTACATATTGCCTTATACCACTACACAGGCGATGCACCAGGAGAAAAAAAAAAAAAAAAAAAAAAAAACGATAGCAACTTCCATGATGAGAAGCAGGGGTCATTCTGGACGTCCACACCCAAATGGCAGCCTGGAGGAGGCGGAGGAGGAGGAGGAGGAAAAGGAGGAGGAAGGAGGAGGAGGAGGAGGAGGAGGAGGATGAGGAGGGGGGGAGAGGGACCGATTCCCAAACGACCCCGTGCGACTGTACTGGAAACGCATCCACACGGCGGGTCGAAACGGCATAAGCCCACCATCCCCCCAATGGCCCAGGGGGTGCCAGGAGGACCAGCCGCGCCAGGTCCGGCAGGCACGGGGGCGGCGGGCAGCTGTAGCCCGGCCAAGTACGCCAGCGTCGCCTGCGCGCCGCAGTGGGGCAGGCGACGAGGCAGGCGAGAGCCCCCTCCCCCTTCGGGGGGGCACTGTCTAACGGGGGGGGCCCTTTGGAGGGGGCCGACTGGCGGAGCCATCCTGGCCCAGAGGGCCCCGGGCCGTTTCTGACCTGGGAGGGCCACAGGGGGGTTGGCAGGCTGAGCGGCCCCCATGCGCTTGGGGCGTCGGATGTGTCTGGAAAAATGGCTGGACGGGAGACAGGAGGAGGAAGAGGAGGAGGAGGAGGAGGAGGAGGAGGAGCAGGACCAGTATGCCGGGAGGAAGAGGACAGGAGGAGGGGGATGAAGAAGGAGAGGAAGGGACTGGAGGAAGAGGACAGGAGGAGGAGGGGGAGGAAGGGACAGGAGGAGGAGGAGGAGGACAGGAGGTTCACCAACGATGCCGGAGTAAGCCCTCCCCCAAGTGCCCTTTTTCATAGGCCCCTGCATCGGTTCATCTCCACAAAAGGACCTGCCTCGGTGGAAGACAACCGATTGATGACCCTGAAACATGCCAAGACATTGCTCTCGGTATTCCAACTCCACGGATAAACCTGACTGTTGCGTGTTGACGTTCCTGGATCGCGCCAGAACGCCATAGCTGGGACTTCAACACCGCGAATCATCGTGAATGTTGCGCCTTCATATATCGTGAACCCTTTCCAAACACCATGTATGGTACGTCGATCATGGGACCCCGTGAAACTCTTGCAAATGTTTACCAAAACTGCGCGCGGCGCTAAAGCCAGACCCACCTGCTGCAAAGAACCACCCTCAATTCTTGAAGCCCTTTTCGCAATGTTACAACGAATGCGCGCGGCGCTGAGGAGAGAACCGCATGTTGAAAACGTCCCGCCCACAATCCGTGAAGCTCTTGCGCAAATTTAACCGCGGCGCTGAGGGGAGAGCCACATGCTGAAAACGTCCCGCCCTCTACCCGTGAAACTTTTGCAAATGTTGAAAAACGAATGTGCGCTGCGCTACGGCGAGCATCAAATGTTAAACACGACCCGCCCTCTACCCGTGAAGCTGTTGCAAATGTTGGACATGAATGTGCGCCGCGCTACGGCGAGAACCAGATTTTGAAAAGAAACCGCCCTCAATTCGTGAAACTCTTGCAAATGTTGACAACGAATGTGCGCGGCGCTAAAGCAAAAACCACATTTTGAAAACCACCCGCATTCAATCCGTGAAACTCTTACACGCGTTGAAAACGAACGCGCGCGGTGTTAAGGCGAAAGCCACATGTTGAAAACCACCCGCCCTCAATCTGTGAAGCTGTCGTCAATGTTGAACCTTCAGGGTCATCAGTGGCGAGGAAATCTCAAGCGAGGAAGTCTCAAGCGAAACGCCCAGCCCGCCCTGAAAACTGGCCTCGGGGTGCGACAGGGAGAAATTATTCATAAGGAGAAGGAATGGAGAAGGCGGATGACGACGACGACGACGACGGCGAGGAGGAAGAATTCTTGCAAGGCCCAAAACCGTGGCGCTCAACGAGCGCGGGCCGACGCGCCCTAGCCAAGACTAAGGGCGCCCAACGGCCAACACCAAAGGCACTCGCGCAGAAAAGGGGTCACGGGCACAAGCTTGGACCTAACCTCCGGTTTACTTTCCCTGACTAAATCCCAATAGCGCCAGCAACGCTACGCCTTAGGGAGAAAACCAAGAAAAATAAAAGCAAACCAAGGAACGCCCTACGCCCCGCGCCAAATTGTCGCATGGGAATTCGGGATCGGAGCCCAAAGGGCGAAACGCGGGGCGTTGCCCAGCACCCGCGCCCCCACTAGCACTGCAGCAGTATGCCCGCGGCAGAGAGCACCGCGATCAAGAGGTTGCAAGCGGGATGCCGCGGGCCCCGCCCGCGTGAACGTCAACGGCGGTTCACCTCGCGCCCAAGCCGCGCCTCTTGGCCGAGGTGGTAGGGCACTAAAAACCCTGGCCTGGCAGCTGCAACGGCGACAGCGGCGGTAGCAGGGGGCGGCGGAAGGGGGTCGGGAGGGCCACAATCTGGCCCGGGAACGCAAACAACGCTCACCCTGGAACTTAATCCAGGGCCGCGCCGCAACTCCCAAAGAGGTATGGGGGCGACGGATACGACGACAAAGCAAGACACGCAGGACGACAACGAACGATCACAAGCCTCCCAAAAGAGACGCCTTTCTCCGCAGGTTTCTTGTAGCACCCGCGAGTGGGCGTGATAAGGAGCCTGACATCATTTGGACCCACGCAGCATTCAGGCGGTGCCACTCGGAACGCGGAACCCGGGAAGCACCGCTTTCCGCGGTAGCGAGGCATTTGCAAATTGCCTCGGCCTGACGGCAAGGAGGAGCAACAATGGGAAGAGGAGGAGGAGGAGGAGGAGGAGGAGGAGGAGGAGGAGGAGGAGGAGGAGGAGGAGGAGGAGGAGGGGGATGAGGGGTATAGGGGGGGATGGAGGGAGAGGAGGGAGGAGAAAGGGGGAGGTGAGAGGGGGAGAGGACAGGGGAAGGGGGAATGGGGAGGGAGAAGGGGGGGGAGGGTCGCAGCGCTGCTCCCCCTACTCGTTCCGTCTCGTTCCTCCCTCCTCCACCCCTCGCCCCCCACCTCAAACCGATACCCCGAGTCCCTTCTGGAGCGCGTGTTGACCAGGACCTCGAGACGTGTCCATCCGTGGCGACGAGTGCACCCCGCGAAGGCCCAGAAGGTCCCCCCGTCCCCCACCCAAAACACCATAATTCGTTGTAGCCTTGGGATCAGCACACCAGGTGTTCTGGATCCCTCTTGGGAGGTCCTCGCGTAACCCCAAGAGGGCAAAAACATTGACCGGCTGATTCTTGAAAGATTTGACCGTTCTCGCCTTTCCAGCCTTCAAACGCTCCAAGACGGCCCAAAACCGTGGCGCTCAACGAGCGCGGGCCGACGCGCCCTAGCCAAGACTAAGGGCGCCCAACGGCCAACACCAAAGGCACTCGCGCAGAAAAGGGGTCACGGGCACAAGCTTGGACCTAACCTCCGGTTTACTTTCCCTGACTAAATCCCAATAGCGCCAGCAACGCTACGCCTTAGGGAGAAAACCAAGAAAAATAAAAGCAAACCAAGGAACGCCCTACGCCCCGCGCCAAATTGTCGCATGGGAATTCGGGATCGGAACCCAAAGGGCGAAACGCGGGGCGTTGCCCAGCACCCGCGCCCCCACTAGCACTGCAGCAGTATGCCCGCGGCAGAGAGCACCGCGATCAAGAGGTTACAAGCGGGATGCCGCGGGCCCCGCCCGCGTGAACGTCAACGGCGGTTCACCTCGCGCCCAAGCCGCGCCTCTTGGCCGAGGTGGTAGGGCACTAAAAACCCTGGCCTGGCAGCTGCAACGGCGACAGCGGCGGTAGCAGGGGGCGGCGGAAGGGGGTCGGGAGGGCCACAATCTGGCCCGGGAACGCAAACAACGCTCACCCTGGAACTTAATCCAGGGCCGCGCCGCAACTCCCAAAGAGGTATGGGGGCGACGGATACGACGACAAAGCAAGACACGCAGGACGACAACGAACGATCACAAGCCTCCCAAAAGAGACGCCTTTCTCCGCAGGTTTCTTGTAGCACCCGCGAGTGGGCGTGATAAGGAGCCTGACATCATTTGGACCCACGCAGCATTCAGGCGGTGCCACTCGGAACGCGGAACCCGGGAAGCACCGCTTTCCGCGGTAGCGAGGCATTTGCAAATTGCCTCGGCCTGACGGCAAGGAGGAGCAACAATGGGAAGAGGAGGAGGAGGAGGAGGAGGAGGAGGAGGAGGAGGAGGAGGAGGAGGAGGAGGAGGAGGAGGAGGGGGATGAGGGGTATAGGGGGGGATGGAGGGAGAGGAGGGAGGAGAAAGGGGGAGGTGAGAGGGGGAGAGGACAGGGGAAGGGGGAATGGGGAGGGAGAAGGGGGGGGAGGGTCGCAGCGCTGCTCCCCCTACTCGTTCCGTCTCGTTCCTCCCTCCTCCACCCCTCGCCCCCCACCTCAAACCGATACCCCGAGTCCCTTCTGGAGCGCGTGTTGACCAGGACCTCGAGACGTGTCCATCCGTGGCGACGAGTGCACCCCGCGAAGGCCCAGAAGGTCCCCCCGTCCCCCACCCAAAACACCATAATTCGTTGTAGCCTTGGGATCAGCACGCCAGGTGTTCTGGATCCCTCTTGGGAGGTCCTCGCATAACCCCAAGAGGGCAAAAACATTGACCGGCTGATTCTTGAAAGATTTGACCGTTCTCGCCTTTCCAGCCTTCAAACGCTCCAAGACGGCCCAAGAGGCCACCAAGACGGCTCATGGGGGCGCGCTAGAGGCCCAAGAGGGCCCATCCCAAGAGGGGGAACCCGAACTGGCATGTCGAGCCTGTTCCCTGAACATTGCCCCCGAGACGGCCAGCAGGCCCCCATGAGGCTCCGAAGTTGCCACATAGGCCCAGTGCCCCCCAAGATCCTCTAAGAGGCTCCCAAGACCCGAGAGGATCCCCAAGAGGCCCCACGACCCAGCCATGGTTGCGGAATTGGCCGAAGGTCGTAAGATAGTCAGGAAGGGTCCCAGACCCCCGTGTTCCAGATCTGACTGGATGTGTCGCGTGACTTTTCCAGAGGCCTGGAAAGAGTCGTTCAGGGCACGCAGTTCGTCGTCCTGGAGCCCGCTCGTGGGCCTCTCGGCCAGTCTTGGGAGCCCTCGGTGCTGGCCCATGACGCCAGAATCGCTGAAACACTGTAGGCTGTTGTGAGAATTTCGCACGCTCGCCTTCTCGGTCTAAAGAGGGCCCAAGACGGCCCAAGATCGCCCCAAGACGACCCCAGATGGTCCACGAGGGGTCCAAGAGGCTCACAACTCTGCCCTTAGAATGAAGCCACCCTCCATCAATGTAGCTGCTGGACTATTTCATACGAATGTGCGCGGCGCTGCGGCGAGAATCATATACCCGCCCTCCGTCCCTGTGACTGTCGGGAGCTGTTATCATAACGAATGTGGGGGGGGCGCTAAGGCGAGAGCCAC